AAATTTTCTTGCCTATTACTTCCTGTACATTGAAAATAATTAAGAAGTCTTGTTCACATCTGAGTTAGATAGCTTTCTGTTGTTGAGACAAAGTATATGACACAGACAGCTTAAAAGAGGACAGATTTGGCTTATGGATTCCGTGGTTTCAGTCCATGGTTAGCTGGCTCCAAGGCAGAAATATCAGGGTGGAAGGGTGTGGCAGAGCACAACTGCTCACTTCATGGCAGCCAGGAAGCAGAGAAAAGAGATGAGCCACAGAAAAGAGCCCTTCAATGACACATACACAGTGATCTACTTCTTCCAACTGTTCTCCAACTCCCAACAGCACATTCCATGACGCCCCAGTTCTGAATGCATGAGCATTTTGGGGGGCATTTTTTAAAAAATTAATTTTATTGGTACGGTAGGTATACAATATAATGACATTTATCATTGGAAATTTGCACCTTTACATAATCTCTCTAGGTTCTTATTTTTTCCCCATTCCCCTGCCCTCCCTTTAACCCCTCCATCCCTCCCTATTTACAAAGATTTTGTTTCCATTTTTCATTTTCTCATATTAATTCCATTCCCTTCTTTCCTTTCCCCTACCCCTCCTACTTCCCCTTCCCCTTTTCCCCTTCTTCCTATTTCACATTATCTATTTTACCTTTTAGTCCTTATTTACACTTTCAGTTTCTCACACTAGAGAAAGTATTTGGTATTTACACGTGTGGCCCATTTATTTCACTTAGGAGTATCGCCTCAATGTGCATCCATTTAGCTATAAATGTCTCTAGTTTCTTGTTCTTTATGGCTGAGTAGTACTCCATTTTATAAAAAACCGACTCTTTATCCAGTCTCCAGTTGATGGGCAATTGGGGTGCTTCCAAGTTTTAGCTATTACAAATTGTGCTGCTATGAACACGGGTGCACATATATCACTGTGGTATAATTCTTTTGATTATTTGGGAAAGATACCCAGCAGGGGAATAGCTGGGTCAAATGAGGTATCTCCATACTGATTTCCACAGTGGTTGTACCAGTCTACATTGCTACCAGCAGTGGAGTAGTCTTCCTCTTTCCCTGGGAGACATTTTTGATCCAAACCATGACACCAAGTTTGGCAGTACAAACTATATAAGTTGACCCAGGAACTGTTTTAAATTGTACTGATTCCTGGGCATACATTGTTGTAATTCAGTTTTAGGTTCTGGGGCTAGAGTAGGAAATTCAGAACTAGTAAAAAAGAAGACACCAGTGATCATACTTAGCCACAAAAAAAGCAAAATTGTACAGTATACTGTTTTCTAAAGGAGTTTTGCTTTAAAAAGCATGTATTATTTGATTACTATAAGATGAGTAACATCAAATGATAGGACGGTAGCAAAATCTTCAGTGAAAATGCAAGTTTGCTTCCCAAAACCCTGTTTTGGTTTTCTGTTCATCTGCTACCTGTAATCATTGATTCATTCCTTGATCTGGTTTGTTTTGTTTCCAGACATATGAAAAATTTAGGTATATACCTAGCAAATGATTGCTGGTATACAGAAAGAAATCTAGCTTAGAGTTGGTACATGAAATAGCCCCAATTTGTTGATCTCAGAACCCATTTAAAAATCTTGAAAAAGTACAAAAGACTGCAAAGTTCTTTTATTTGTATGTTAATATTTACTAAATGAGAAATTAAAACCGGAAAGTGTTTGAAATATTAGTTCATCTAGAAATAACAGACTCAAGTGCAGGGGGTTTAGCTCAGTGGCACCGTGCCTGCCTGGCAAGCACAAGGACCTGAGTTTGATTCTAAGTACCAGAAAGAAAGAAAGAAAGAAAAAGAAATAATAGACTCGGGAATTAATGTAAATATATAAGCAATGATAAATGACTTCAAAACAAAGATGACTGAATGAAAACAATGGCTTTATTTTACATTTTGCAAGTCACTTCAAATTCTCATACCTGCTTCTACATCTAATCTTTTCTACACTGTACATCAGGTAACCTCTGGAAAACGCCACTGTGTATCTGAAAATGCACCTGAACAAGGCAACTAGAAACTTAGTATAATTATGGAAATAATTTGCCCCTCGAAGACCCTCTCCCAAGGTCACAAGGATCCAGGGATCACAAGACAACATTTTTTTGTTTTTTGGTACTGGGGATTGAACTGGGGACCTTGCATTTGTGAGGCAGGCGGCGGCACCACTGAGCTATATCACCGGCCCCAACAAGGCAATATTTTGAAAGTCACTCCTCTAGGTTAGCTAAGTCAATTGTTTTCAACATTCTTAATTTTCTCATGCACATTTTCTTGGACATCTTCAGATATTAAGTAAACAAGAGTAGTCCTTTAGCCTTAAGCAAAATTAATAACAGAAGACAATTTTGAGAGTCAGGAAGATTGCGGAGGGAAGAGTGGGCGCCTGGAAGGCATGTGTGGTAATCATGAAAGCATTTCATGAGCTGGTAGGAAACAGAGGGTGAGTTATAAATAATGGGAATTCCCAGCAGTCTGTGACACTGCTTAATCTTTGATTCAGTCAATAAAAATAAAATTTCAGTGACAGAAACACAGTTATAGAGGTATCTGTAATCTGTTAAGACTCTGATTTCCTTAAGTAAATGATTTGAAAGTTTGGGCATTTATCAATTACTGGAAATCAATTACTTTAAAAGTTTTTATAATGTTGAGAGATGCTATCTTTTCTTTCCAGTGGCTGGTAGAGGTGAGATGTTTAGTATTCCATACATTAAATTCTTCTCTTAAATACAATTACTGGACAAATACTGAGAAGTTCACTTTTTATTTATTTTTGTCATTCAGTATATAAATACATGTTTATGTACACACATACACATTCTCCTGTGTGCACATATTGATTCATTCATTCGACAGATACTTACAGAGAGTCATTTTAAATATGGTAGGCACTATTTATAACAATGGGGATACAAAATGGAACATAAATTCCTGTTCTCATGAGTCTTGTTTTAGCACAAAGAGAAACACAAATATGTTAAACAAATCATCCATTAGATTGTAGTAAAGGTTAGAGAGAAAATACCAAGAAGTAAGAAATTTTGGGAAAGGGCAATATCAATATGATTTAAAATAGGGTGGGCATGCTGGGCATAACGGGGCACACCTGTAAACCCAGCACTTGGGAGGCTGAGGAAGGAGGTTTGCTGGGAGAGTTCAAGGCCAACTTGGCCTATATATTTAGTGCAAAGTCAGCCTGAACTACATAGGAAGACTGTCTCAAAAAAAAAAACAAAAACAATAAATAGGGTGATAAGTGGAAGACTGAAAGGTGGTATTTGAGCACGGATGGAGAGACCAAGCCTTCATGGAAAAGTGTTCAAAGAAGAGGAAACAGCACCTGTAAAGAATATGAGGTTGGGACCTTGTGTGGTGTTTTGTAGGAACACAAAGCTGAGTGGGCAGTCTGTGACGTCAGGTAATGAAGAGGACCTAAAAGCTACAGTAAAAGGGCTTTTGTTTTTATCTTGTGTTGGGAAGCCATGGGAAACACTGAATACAGTGTGGTATGACCTCATTTCCCTTTTCATAGGTATATGTGGGCTTCAGTGGTGAGAATACAACAGTTCCTGGGTTACTGTAATAATCCAAACAAGACAATGCAGATTGTGGTAGAGGAAGTTAAGTGAGACGCTGGATGTATTCTGAAGGAAGAAGCGTAATTGTAAAATTGTAAAATTTATATGAGACATTAGAGAGGATCTACAGATGGGTTTTGACAAAGAAAAATGGAGCCGTCTACTGAAATAACAAAGAATTGTGGGTGTGAAGAAGGGCTGAAGCCAAGAAGGGCATTTTATGTCTATCTCTGTGGATTCGCTGGCATCTTTGTGCAGCTTTGTATGCTTGATGCTGTTTAGACCCTGACTATCTCTCAAATGCTCAGGAGCTGAAGGCTTGACCCCTAACCACGGTGCTTTGGGGAGGCAGTGGAACCTTTTAGGGACTGGCCTTGAGGAAGGAAGTTAGGTCATTGGGGGTATGCCTCAGAAGGCATATTAGGAACCAAGACTCTCTCCTCTTTTGTCTCTGCTCCCCAACCACTGCAGGTAGTCAGGCCTCCTCTGCAACACACTCCCATCATGAAACACTGTGCTGCCACAGGCCCAAAGCAACAGTCAAGAGACCATGGAGTGAAACTCCTAAATCCATGAGCCAAATAAACTCGTTCCACTTTAAAAGTTTAGTATCTCTGCTATTTCGTCACAGTAACAGAAAGCTAACAGATGGACAGATACAATATAACTTTTTAGACAATCTCTCCTAAACATGCACTTAGAACAACTGAGCTGCAAAAAAATTTTCCTAAAAGGACCAGGAAATAACTCTGTGTTCTGATACAAGCTCTATCTCAAACTCTTTAATCAAGTCATTTAACCTTGTTTTATCTGTTTCCTAATGGGTAAGATGAAGAGATAGAGTAAAAGAACCCCTACAGTCTGTGCTTGAATTCAAATCCCAGCCTCTGTAAGATGGTAATAGTGATAGGATCTACTCATAGCTTATTGTGAAGTTTAAATGAATGTATACGTGTAAAGCATGTGCATGGACCATTGGTCATTAGTATTATCTTTTCAAGCTGGAATCTCTATAAATTAAAATTTTGTTATTTATTTGTTTACAAGTTATGTGGAAGAGTAAAACTGGGTGGCTAAGAAGAGGCCAAGACAGGGAACTAAACTAAAACTGGAGGACATACATATTACGTTACAGCAGTCATAGAAGCTATATAAAAAACAGTAATGCCTACATTAGAAAACATCACTGAAATACACTGCATCCTTCAAGAAACTGGTTTGTATATTGACATACATGAATAAGGACCCTAAGATAAATTGATTTAAGAGGAACAAAATAAAATGCACATATTTTTGTACATTTAAAGGCACTGAAAATTTCTAATTTTGAATGAAATATCTGACATCTCAAAATGTGACCCCATTTCAAGAACCTAGTTAAGGAAATGCTGTTATGTTACCTTTTAAGTTAGAAAGGCACGCTCTTCCATCCTTTTCAGTTTACTACGAATTATGAAAAGTTACTCAGTTCTGGAAAAGGCAGTATACATGCTGAAACGAAATGGACAATTCTGTTAAGAGTTTTGATGTTTAAAACTGGTGTGCCATCAAAAATAACTAATTCCTTCAAATTTTAGATTCTTATTTATACTAATTCATTTTTTCCTCCAGCTTAATGCCCTACTGTGTTAAAAATGGATTCAAAAGGACAATAAAATCCATTTTTCCTCAGTTAAATCGCTTAACCAGTCAGAAAGTGAAAAGAATTGCCACGTCCTGGAGGACTTCTGTCTTTACCTTTTTTTTTCTTTTCACTTTTTTTTTCTGAGAGAATACTTTTGCAAAGGGCTGTTTAACCCAAAACTAAGTTGGGCGCCCAAGGGCATTGGGGGGGTAGTGTCACAAAGCCGGGGTTTTGAGCACCACACCTTCCTGGTTCTACGTAGGTCTTACTTCCTGCACCCCAAATCTCTCTCTGGTGCGCTTGCCTACTGCCAGGGCCTCCCGCCCCAGTTCGTCGGCGGACAGCAAACTGGAAGACCTTGGGTCTACGGACACGAACCACGTAGAGCACTGCGCGCAGCCCAAGAAGCGGGGCACGGCTGCGCATGCGCATGCGCTGGCGCCTGCGCGCACAGGCCAGGCGGGGCTGTGGCCCCGCTCCCGATCGCCGCGGTCACGTGACGGGCGCGCGCGTCCCCGTCGGCTGCGGACTGCGAGGCCGAGGAGAAAAGGCTGCGCGGCGGCTGCGGCCGTGGCTGAGGTGGGCGTCGGGGCGCAGTCCTCACAGGGGGCCGCGCGAAGCCAGGCGCCCCCGGGTTCGCGGGGCGGGGCCCTTGTCCGCGGGGCCTGTGCGGCGGGCGCGGGGCGGGGCGGGGCGGGGGCGGTGGTTGCGGGCGGGCGCGGCCGGGGCTCGGCGCTTGTCCGGGAGCCGCTGTCAGGCCTCCCGGCCGCGCCGGTGGCGTCCGCGCCCCAGGACCCGCCCCGGAGCTCGACGCGGCGGGCCAGCCGCCCGAAAAACCACGCGCTTACCCAAGAGAAGCGCCCCGCCTGCCGCCCCCGGCCCGGCCCGGCCCGGCCTGCGAAGCGCGGCGCCGAGCTGTCACGGAAGCGGGGTCCCCGAGCCGCCCGAACCCGCGGGGCCCGGCCGCCGTCCCGTCGGAGGAGCCCGGGCCTCCATTGTTGTCGCTGGTGCTTTTCCGCGGGTGTCTGCAGGGAGGGAGACCGTGACATTGTGGCTGGAGTGCGGCCGGGGACTGCCCTCTTCGCGGAGAAACCTCCACGACTGTGAAGCGGACAGCGATTCCCGGCACTTAGATATTTTTTTCTTGTTGATCATTTTGATCTGTTTTTTTATTTTTCCCCCTAGGTACCATTTTCGGGAGCACTGATTTCTCAAGTTTGAACATTTGAAGTTGTATTTTTTTTAAATACTGAAATACTGTAGGACCGAGAGGAAAAACCAAGAGATGATAGAAAAGGCTTTGTTCTTTGAGCGATTTGATTGACATTTCAAGTGCCAGCCTCCCCCACCCCTTGTGTTGGACTTTTCAAGTGGGATGTGAAGGTATTATACGGGCATTGAAAGCAGTGTACACAGAATTTGGAAGACTTAGAACATTTTAATGAATTAATCTGTCAGTTTCTCAAAAAGATACGACACATTTAGGGCACACTAAGACAATGACCCACACAATCTGGTTTGTGATGGCTTTGCTGTTTTTTGGTTTTGTTTTGACTAGCAGATATTGTTTGAGCAGTATCCGGAGTGTCTGGGTGCTCTAAAAACACGTGAAAATAGGTGAAGTAAATCAGCAAAAATGAATAGTGAATTTCGCTCGGAAACAGATTATGGTGCTCATCACGAGGGCAATTTTTTTTTCATGATACAAAAGAAATAGATTATGGATGAGTTTGTTTTGGCCTTGGATATCTTTAAGTGGAGCACTTGGATTTAGACTTTCGATGTCAGATGGCCCAGTGTAAGTTGTGCACAGAATGAAAATACACAACTGTTATTGGCTGGTCTTTTAAGAACATGGTAGAATTATAATCAGGAAAACTTTTTCCAAATGTCATTAGATAAAAGGAACTGAAAAGGAAATAACATTTTTTCTTTTAGGAGATGTGCAGCAACTGGTAAAATGTTTCAGTTTCCACCAACTTGAATTGTCAAAAGAAATAAGCAGACTTTTTAAAGCATTTAGGGTGATTTGTTGACTTAGACAAAGAAACATCGAATTAAAATTTTCTTGTCATGTTGATCTGTTTAAAGAATATTTTCTTTGAAACCTATATACTATACTAGCGTGAAATGCCCAACACTGTTGCTTCAGGATTTGAGTACCTCCCCTCTCCAGTGTTAATGATGGATGTTTCTGTTCCCTTGCCTGGTTACATCTAGACTAAAGAATTTGGATTTGTGAAACATACTAGATTAGGAACATTCTTTGTGAGTGTAGAAACTCACACTGGGCTACAGCTACCTATTGCTCGTTTGTAGATTCTGTGTAGTGTTCATGACCTATTATCTTTTGGGTTTATTAAAACAAAACTTATTAAACGCCTGACAGAGCTTTTAGAATTACAGAAGTGTAGAAGAGGGTGAAGTAACAAAGACAGGTTTTATGACTTGACCAAGGTTACCAATTTTATTAGCCAGAGGTTTTCTTATTTACAGAATTGTTGGCCATGAAACTTCCTTGTATGATATTATTAAAAGATAGTATCTGCGGCCGGGGATTTAGCTCAGTGGTTCTGCTGCTTGCCTTGCAAGCGCAAGG